TCCTAAGAATTTTTTCTAGACCATTGACGATGATCACTTAAAAGCGTCAGCTGTCGTCAATAAACCGAATTTGCTTCCATTTGGTGCTCTGGTGCATCCGTTCTCATTGTTCACACCACGACCGTCCAAACCAAAACCTTCATATCTCTTCGGATTGCCACCACTTCCAGAAGACGATTACGGTATTTCTTTACAAGACTCTTTCTGAGAATGTTGATCCTTATTGTCCCACAGCTCCATCATGGTGTTTTGCTTGATTTTAGAATATTTACTCAAATACTGTTTGAAGTTCCTCACTCCCACTGAACTGCAGAACTCTTGTCTTGTCGTGTCTTGAACTCTTATCGTGTCTCCCACTGAACAGTTTATCGATGCTTATCGCCATATATTTCACGTCATCAATTCATAAATGAATGTCAATCTAGCAAAGCCTTCTTTCTTGGATTGTCAGGCTAGGAGGTATAGTTAGTATTGATGAAGAAAATTCCAACATCGTCCTGAGCTGCTTCAGCTGATTTGAACTTTTAGTGTAAAAATTTTCGTGAGCTTGGGAGAAATGATATGGCACCACTTAAAAGGATTGAACATCGCTGTCTGAACTCCAAACTTATCACTCCAATCAACCCAGCAACTTTGTCATATCTTTACTTTCAGAACTAACAGCACCCACAACTCCTCGCCCATTTCGACTCATACCATTACCAAGGATAACGATGCCACCGATGCCATTCATGGACTCATACGGTCAGTTTGATCGTCGGACTCGATCGTGAATTACAAACCGACTATATCAGTTCACTAACGATCTATAGTCCATCTCAAATATTACTTGCGTTATTCTTGAGATCTGTTATTACCTACTCCCTACGAATCTTCCGGAGAGCTTTTTGCGAATTGTTCGCGAGATTCAGTTGGAAACATACTGAATTTGATTTGAATTAAGTGAACAATTCAGAAGTTGACCAACTATTCAAGTTACTTAGAAACATGTTCATTTTCAAGGTTCATTGTGACCAACTCGGTATTCATCAGAAAAATTTTATTTGTGATCATTTGTCCAATCCAATTATCGTCATAATCCCAAACAATCATTCCCAAGCAAGCAGACAACCGTTGATGATCTGATCATCTACTCGAAAGAAGAAAGAGAAGGACACCATTGGAAGGAATTCTCCAAGAGAATAGTAACTGAACCACTTTTCTTCACAACACTTCAGCAAAATGTTCAAATTCATCTCATTTACAGGCATCAATACCGTACCTGAACTACCACCTCAGCATGAATCAAAATATGCCGGTCAGTTCGCACCGGACGGTACTTACATTGGAAAACCGCAACTTCGTGTTGCGTACATGAATCGACCAAGACGCTCGCCATCAAATAACGAGGTA